AGTTGAAGAAGACCCCTATTGAAGAGTACTCATATGGTTTCCCAAGATACTAGGAACAAGTGCATCGCTTCTAGTAACAAGTGCCTTACTAGTAGTAACAAGAAGCTATTAGTTAATTTATTTTTACTTAATTCTAATAGCTTCTTGTTACGACTAGTAAGGCACCTGTTACTACTAGCGATGCACTTGTTCCTAATAGCTTCTTGTTCCTAAAAACCTCTAGTATATGTGAAATACATGGAGGGCACATCTTTGGGATTGCCAGCGAAGGCTTAAGTGACCTCCAAAAGGGACCCGTCACCTTTGGGTACCCAGGTGGGATAGTCGAACTAGGGGTTCTTCAACCTCTGTTGGTGTCCAAGACCTGCTAGTTTACATTCACATTTAGCCCTTCGAAGTCTTTCTCATCATCTTAACAGCATGCCTGGCCGCGACTGTTGTGGTTTCGCGGTTTGGAGGGTTCTGTGGTGAGCTGGCGGATCTGCAGGTTAATTAGATTGAAGGATTGCAGTTGGACGGGGGGGTGCATGGCCCATTCAGGGTGGAGGCCATCATCGGGACCGAGATAAACACTGCTCCTCTCCAGCTTCCGTGGAGACTACGTGGCCCCAAGTCGACCCACTTCCAGCATGACACGGTCGCCGTCCCCAATTTCTTCCGAGGCCCCGCCATTAGTGGTTCTCATTGGTTCTCTTAACCAGGGGGTCCAGAACATGGTGGTAAATCAATGGTCCGAGCTTAGGAATACATCATTTGGTAGAACCTGGTCCTCAACACCTCCTTGAGTTGTGTTTGTATATCAGGGCCTCCAGTGAAATGAGAACAGACTGACCTGTAGGGACTGGTATAATTGTTTGTACAATACATACCTAATGCACCTAATACCTGTCCTATCATGGCCGATGTGGTATACCCATATATTGGTTGTTTACCGAGTCTCCCTTCTTTTCATCAACTATATAATCAAGGCAGGAAAAGGCCATTCATGCTCCCTTCAAATCTGCAACAATCCATCGGATTGATCTGCATAATTAACCGTCACGTGGGTGGTTGAAAAGGGGTGAATGTACCAGTGTAGTGTCCGGCTGCTTACACTCAAACACAGTCAACGCATGCTCTGTCCAGTGGCTATAGCCCAACTCAAAGCCCACCACGGCATACTCTGCCAGGATGGAGTTTCTTGCAATGAAGTTCTCCTGCGCTCAAATCGGAGCCAAGCATGGTGCCCAGCAAGTCGAAAGCATGGATTGAACCTTTGGAAGATGATGGCATATGATGAAGTTTCCACTTGGCAGCGGCAAAACAAGCAGCAAACCAACTCGCAGATTCCTCATCACATTTCAATCTGTACGGCATGGTTGCAAACAATCCCAGCAGCTCTATCCCAGCTGCCCAACCAAACAAAGTAGGCGCGTCCCACCGCAAACCCTTGCTTCTCAAATTTCACCCAGCCCACTTGAAGAGAGCTTGAAGACCCAAGGTAGTAAAACCCCAGGTAGGATTTCACCTCGCAAAAAAATGCCGACCCCAATGTAGACCCATAGACTTAGAGCTTGTACCATCCAAATGGGTCTATAGACCCATATCAAGAGCTTGCACCATCATGAATTGGTCTAAGTCTAGGCCTCGCTCCGGTCGGAACAACCACAGGATCGGTCCATCGCTCGCCGCTCTTTTCTTCGAAGCGCGGCTGGACGCGGCGGCATGGGGTCCACTCAGAGTTCCACCCGCAGGATCTGCGAGACCTAGTCCACTGGGCTTCGGGTGTGGTTCACCGTGAGTCGCTTGGGGGGGGTGAAGTCCACATCCAGTTATTGGTATGTTTGGTTTGGTTTGGCTGGGGGCAATTGTAGAATTGTTGTATTTTCCTGTTGTTTTTAAATAATGCGTGTTTTAGAAGGGGTTGGAGTAGAAAGTCTTGTAGCATGGGGTGACTTTTTTATTTGTGCAGTCACTTTTTCTTCAACTTCATTCCGTAGCTGCTTGGCTCTGAAAGAGATCGCTGCCTGGGTTACCTCCAATAGATCGCCCCCAAGATTATTAGGTAACCCAGGCAGCGATCTCTTTCAGAGCCAAGCAGCTACGGAATGAAGTTGAAGAAAAAGTGACTGCAAAAAGAAGAAGTGACTCCATGCTACAAGACTTGCTGCTCCAAGCCCCAAGAAGAAAGGGAGACCTCCCAGGCGCTCTCAGTTTGAGAATTGGTAGCAAAGCGGAAGCAACCACAAAAATGC